GCTTTGTAATGATTGCATATCATATTACTTAAAAAAATTCCTGTGAATTCATTATTCTAAGTTCAATACTTATTCGTGTATTTAAGTACCTTGACTAGCTTATTTCTTGGCTGAGCAACACAGATTTCTGAAATATTTTAAACATTCTCTGACCCGCTAAAGCAGGTTTTAAAATCTTTTGTAAAGTGTAAAGAATGTCTCTATTTTGTCCTCATTCTTATGGAACAAGTAGCACTAACAGTTATGTTTATCTTTTCGATTTGCATTTCTTTGGTTTCTATATTAATGACTCCGAAAGATAAAGTTTTATTTAGGTTTTTAAATTGGTACACTAATTAATGCAAAATTTTTGCAAAACATCAGACAAAACTGAAGAGTTAATTCTCAGGTAATAAGACATGGCTTATTTTTATCAAATCAGAAGTTTTGTTTGGTTTATTTAATTATTTAAATACGGCAAAGCATTCGAGGGCTATCAGCCTAAGAGGAGGGATTCATTCGTGGAGGACTTTCTAAGGGAAACTGGCTCGAATATGCGTTACACATGGGTAAAACTGCGAAAGCGCCCATGCAGCCAGCCCGTTTGCGGGATCCGAACCTCAGACTGAACTACAAGTGTTTCAGCGACTTTACCGCTCGGCCGCTGGTGGGCCCAAATCAGAAGGAATAAGGATAATATATGAATTATGCCCCCTTGGTTTAGTTGTGAATCAAGCTATAATAGCTAATATATTCATTTAAATAGAAGATATTTCTCTTTAAAACGCGTTTTCGAAAATCATGTTCCCTTTAAAAGTAAATTCTAAGTTAAAAAGTTCTAAGGTAATTTATTGCTTATAGCGTATTGTATTGCTTATAGCGTATTGTATTGAAAGAAAACGCAGTTTCCTAGCTTTTGTTATGGTGCAATATTTAGGCTATTCAGCCATCTCTGTAGTAGAAGCTGATACATATGAAGCTATCTTATATGCAAACACTTTTTATTCTTTGTAAACCATATTAAAAATGCAGCATTGTCTTCTATAGCCATTTTATATTTGGGCCACTGATGTAAATTTAAAATGGTCAATAATTCTGTCAAGCATAAAGGATTGCAGTCTTTTAATTCCGCTAATCTAGATTCAAGCACTCGAAATCGACGCGAACTTTTCGATATTTATATTTTCAAAATCATCTCAAAGTTTTACTTCAAAACATTGGAATTTTTTTTTTATTGACTTCCAATGGAAGTGCTCATCACTAAAGCAGGAAAAAAATTGAAATAAAATAAAATTAAAAGAATGATCCTTCCGCTATTTCAATGTTAAGTGAATCATTAATATTGCCTCGTTGCAGATGAGTGCCATATCCTTAATGTTTTGAAGAAACGCTTAAATTTCCATGTTTAATAATTAATTCTTAACTTTTGAAATAATCCTTTCTTCTTTAGATTTGCTTTGACTATCTGTCACTCTTTAGCCAATTTGCAATGATAAAATAAAATTCAAGATTTAAAGATTGCATTATATATGTTATTTATTAAATTTCATTTATAGTTTCTTCATAAATATGGATGTATTTTTTAAAAGCTCTTGTGATTTTTTTATTTTCCCTCTCCATTTCTTCATTCTTTCTTTTCTCGTTAAATTAAAATTTCAAATTTAATCTTGTTAAAGATTCCTTTAAAATTAATCAAAAGGGTTTGTACTTCCTTTTTCTTATTATTTTTATTTAAAAGATTTTAGATTCAAAAGATTCCAGAATGTTTCAACATTTTGATTAAAAAAATTATAATTCCTCCCACCTCTATTAAAATATCTGTCAAAATTTGAAAAATAAACTGAAGCGTTTTCTATTTCAGGAATCTTTTAAAATTGGAGAGAAACTGTTAAATTCTGCTAAAGATCTTCGTAAGAAAATCAACTGTCAATATTCGAATGCAGAATTAGGTCTTCAGCTGGAGAAAACTTGGAATGAATTTCTGCGAATTTTCGGAAACATTTCTGAGCGCCTGGACTTATGCCAAAACTTCTATCGCAATATTGGAAAAGTACGTAGATGTTTGCAGTCAAGTTGTATAAAAATGTCTAACCCCAATAAAATTGAGTGATTCCTAAATACAATGCTAGTGCTTCCTATGTACTACGCTAGTGAGTGCTTCCTAGGTACAACGCTAATGTTGGGGTCGCAATTTAACTCATGTCATTCTGGAAGTGGAATCCCACTAAAAGAGGAGAAATCTTTTCGTAGTATTAAAATTATTTAATAAAGAACTACAAATTTTGAATACATGTTTTATTTAACAAATTACGTTTTTAAAATGCAGGAAGCAAAATAGAAAGAATAAAATTCAATACTTCCGAAAAATAATGCTATATGGCAACATATGTAAATTAAAATTTTGCCATATTGTAATGCCGTGCCTAATTAGTTTCCTAATCTGCTCTTGGTTACTCCTTCTTGTCTGATGAATTATTATCTTTACAAAATTAAATAGAAATATACTAATAAAGTACAAAAATAAAATTAATCAAAAAGGTTTCCTAAAACTACATCTAATTGTATAATTAAACTAACCGTACTTGCAGGGTTTCGTGATTCAAATACTTAACACGTACACTGCGAAAAAAAAAGGGGAGGAGGACAGTTTTACTGAGCCGATTGACAAAATTGAAATTGCGTTTTTTATGTTTCGTAAGTGCGATTGCGGATATATATTAGATTTATATATAGTATAGTTCTAACGTATGCATTTTGACACAAAATCGGACTTTTTCTGAAATAACATATCAATTTCTTTCCATATTTCGATTATACGGTTCTAATTACGCTTAGATATTAAATTTTGTAAAATTTGGAGCAAAAGTTAGGGAGAAATTCAAAACTTTCTAAAGGACACTGATTCGCACTGGACTTCTAGATTAACAGAAAAAGTTGTTGTTTACCCGGAGTTAATATGTCGGAACATATTAACTCCGGGTAAACAACGGAATTTGTAGGAAACAGAAGTCGCCTTCTGTTTCCTGCTAATACAGAGAAACAATTTCGATGCCCTTCGATCCTCCCCCTTTTTGTAACGAGCTACTTAAAGAAGAATATTTGTTCATACGCAGTATGATACACAGAAACACTGTCTAATTAAATACAAAACTTGACCTAAAATAATGATGTTGAAAATTCTTCCAGAATATTATTGCTTTATAAATATAAGGTCCAGTTAAAAAGTGTATAATATAATAAGTGTATAATGTAATAAGTGTATAATATAATGATTATTTAGTTACATACCAGTTACTTGTATTACAACTTCGTTTCTGGTAGATATCTCGCTACCAGAATATTAATATAAATGCACAACCATCAAGTTTTTTCCAGAAATTTTTAGTGTAATTACCAGGAGTGGGAATTTTCCCTACTTATCTCGCGATGGCCAAGTGAATTTTGTCTTTTCTATTTTTCTCGCAATAAATTTATTTCTCTATCAATGAATATACGTTTAATTAAAAGATATTTTTAGTATGCTGTTTTCTTTATACATAGCAAAAGCAGCAGGTAGAAAACTTGGAAAAAGCTATGCGTCGAAAATTGAGGATTTTTGGGGAAGTCCGTCGCAGTTTTGTGATTAGAAGATACAGAAGATCTTGGATTAGGACACTATTGGATATTCAAAATTGTCTCCAAAGTGGTACTTATCTGTTGGAAGTTTTAGACCAGCCTCTGGGAAGCGGCCAAAAGTAAGTATACGAACAATTCGGTTACTTTATTTAGTTTCATTATACATTAATTTCATGGCAGCAAATTTTGTTGGAATTATGTCTATATATAAGTAGATACATTTACTTTTTGAATATTTAAAAGGTAGCGAAAATTTAGTTATCTCTCAGTCTCCTTAATGATGACATTACTGACTCATAAGAGAGGACATATTAATAGAGTCTTGTCCTATAACTCACCACTACCTCCAACACCACCCATAGTAATAAATAGTGAAGATTAATTTTGAATACAATATACTATATAGTATGGATTTTAAAAAAACTGGAATTCAAATCTAGTGACGTTCTAGATTTTTAGATTGTTTACTGTTAATGTAGATTAGGACCATGACATTTTAAATAAACCCGAAATGCGAAAAATGAGAGATATCTCTGGCGTCGTTCAATATTGCGACGTTTGAGCTCAATTTTATTTTTTGTTATGATACGTGGAGACAATTTGCGATTAAAGTTTCAGGTATTAGTTAATAGATGAAAAATTAATTCTTAATAGAAACTTTTATCCTGTGTAGACAACTTTTATCAGGAGCGCAGCACTATCATCTTTATAATAAATGTTATTCCTTATTATGGATTCACAGAGATCTATTTAAATAACTAGACCAAATGAAAAGCAGAACTTATCTCTTTATTGAAATTAGTAATAGTTCTTGCAGCAAATATACAGTTTTAAATAGCCAAGGAGAAAAGTCAGAGTTGAGGGGACATTCTCTCTAATCTGCTTGAGCAAAAATTGTTATTTATTGGTAAACAGACACTTTTATGGAGCTTTTGATTTCTTTTAAATTCCTTGACTTGAAGAAAAATTAAAAATCTAAAAGAAATTTTAATTTACAAACATCGCGAAGTAGTTCAAAACAATGAACGGCACGTCGAAAAGGACAGTATCTTAAACTGATGGACCATATGGATTTCTGGGAAATATGTCTGAATACTCTTTCTTCTACGTGAAGATACTAGTAATTGAAACAGCGTTCTGGAAATAAAAATCGCACCTCTGTTCATCTAAAGTATTATGCTACCTGTCCTTTTGCTTTCAAGTTTGGATGCAGAAGAGCCATATAAGATTTTTTATTTAGAAGATTACACTTCTTCGCATTTCTGATTCAAAGATCCCCTTAAAAGTGGAACTGGGGGGAAAAATTCTTCAACCGTCCAGGAAGAGGCCTCCCCTTTTTTCCTTCCCCTCTTAAAGAGAAGACCAGCTTCATTAAAATACCGCTTCACGAGGGAGCGGTGGGCTGCCCAATATAGAAACAACGTCTGGCACGGATCACTCTTTCCTCTGCTCACCACGTTGTTCCCAACATTATCCGAGACCGGCAGTACACATTCAAGATGCTGTTTTAAACGAGTAAGTACACGTTATTCCTGCGCGATTAGATACATTCATAGCACCTATACTGATTTCAGTTACGTACTGTTTTCAGTTACAAAGTAGCCTATCAGGTTCATATTTCTTTATCTGATTTTTCTCTTCCCTAAAATACACCGTATACTTCTGCAGAGGCCATAATAATAATATTGGTTACCTGTTACCTGCCGATGTTCCAAACGGGAATTCTTATAAAAATAATTTAAATTTCCTTTTTTCACCCGAATATAAGATGATGTTTTTTCCCTTAAATGCACTCTTCTGATAATCATACGCTTTGTAATATGCATAACCCAACATTTAAAAATGTATTAGTATAATTTATGAATTATTTGTTAATTTATGTCTTAAATTAATATATGAAGTTCATATAAGTGTACGGGCGTCCTATACGCAAGTCCTTTTTCTCTTGTGAAACATTTCCATACATTCAAGATGTCTCATATGGGGGGTCATATTATATTCGGGATCGTATAAGAATTAATTTTAAGATTTTCTATAATAATGCTTATATTCAAATTACTATTTAGTGGGACAGATTTTCAAATAATCCGTTTAAGCAAAATTAGGTATTATTATTTATCGTTTGTTCTAAATGCACGTTTTAGTGTACTTCTAATTTCTTAAATTTCTTGACGTGAAAATCTCTGAAATTAAAGGTAATTAATTAAACTGGTAATTACGTACTAGAGATTAAGTTCATTCATATACCGTGGAAATTAATTTAATTATAAAAGAATGTATGTGAGCTAGATGTGGGTATTTCCAAGGCAAGAATTTACTAAATATAAAGCAAACTTTATAGAATGTTTGCCCCTCAAAATGCATGAGCGATAAAATATTTTATTACTGAATTTCCACCGATCCTATCAAAGCTACAAAATGATAATTAGTGATAACGGTCACTAAAACATTTCAATTTGCTTTTTACTTTATAGAGAATTTTATGTTATTTAACCGATTTTTTATAATTTCACTATTTACTATAACTTGTCTTTTTCGTATTCCTTATCAGAAAGCAAATAAGTAGCCAGCATTTAAACTAAGTTTCTTAGATTTTAAGACAGAGTGTGTTACTGGCATCCCGTGCACGCTACGTGTTAGTTTCGTGCCGGCTCTGATAGTTATAATGATTCGGTTCTGCGTTTGACCGCTGCTGACATTTTAATTCTGACGCTCCGATAGTGTAGTAAGCCATCTTTTAGTAATAATTAATTGTGAAGTCTTTGATTACTGTTCGACGTTTGATTTAATTGGGCTGTTCCAATTTATTCGCATCACCATGGGATTATGACTATATTGTAGAACAGTTGAAATATATTTTTATTTACTTTTTATGCTGTTATAGATTTAAATAAAGTAACGACGAGCAATAACATCTTGGTTCCAAATATTACCAGACAAACATCCAGAATTTTTTTTTAAACATTTTCATGGCTAGGATCAAAATCATCTCGGACGCAGAATGTCAAGTAAAGACTCTTTTGGTGCTTTTTGATAAATTGGGAGTTCATATAAGTGTTCATCAATAATTTTTCCGAGTTCTTTTCCTTCTCCATACTTTTTTCTAAAATCTAAATCATACTAAGCAAATGTATATTAAAGTTAAGATATTTTTATTTAAAGTTAAGATATTATTTAAGATATTTTTTCTTGCATTGTGAAAAGTTCCACTCCTAGGGCTCTTTCAATGAGCATTTGTCAAGCATGCTTAATGGCCGCTGTTTTGTTTAACCTAACGCAGTCACAAAGGGTTTTGTACCTTAAAGGTACATGGCAAAAGTCCTATTTTTAATAAACATAGTAGCTATAATTTTGAAAAGTATTTGGTCCTCAAAATGCTCAAGGTTCAATCACGTGACTCTTTTCCATTAAATAACAATCTTCATTGCAGAATGCAAATTATGGTAATTTTATTGGGAAGATAGCATAAGTTTTCGTATTAACTTCATTTACTTCTTAGATTTAGCAATTTCAATTTTTTTTCTTTTTACCTAGAATGATACCATAAAAAAACACGTTACAGCATTTTATGAATTTAAAAAATTGCAAACAATCGCTAGATATTCCAACAGTTGATTTCTAAATGGTATTCAGAAGCGTCACGTACATACAAAGAGGCGTATAATGTTATGAGTAATGTATGTAGAAAGTTTAATAATTTTATCTTTCTCAATTTCATTAATTCTTTTATGAATTTAGTTCTAAAACATAGAAACACAATTTGGTCATATTCCTCCTCTAAACATAAAAGAAAAAAAAAAAAAAGAAAAAAAAAGAGAAGAAGGAAATTTTTTTAAAATAACAATAATATCCAAATCCATTCTGCGTTTATTCGATATTATTCTGTGGGCGAATTGTTAAATTTTAAGTTACTTTTATCAGCCAAAGGAATAACACGAACTGATGCATATTACTGGCATGTTAACAAATCGGATTATTTATTTTCGTTATAAATATTTGGCACGAATGTACTTGGATTATTTATTTTCGTTATAAATATTTGGCACGAATGTACTTGGATTATTAGTTTTACTTCAATGAAAAAAGATTTCTTTTGTTTAGTGCTAAGAAAGTTACGTTTTGATAGAAGGAAAGTGGTTTCTTTTTCGATATTTTCTTGTTAGCATATATTTATGCATTCATCTTTCATTTCAATTAAAATTTTTATTCGTAATTTCTTGTATTTCATTTTCATTATTTGTATTATTTTCTTTATTCTTATATTTCATTATTATCAAAATTTCAGTTGATGGTGAAATTTGTATTAATGTATGAAATGTTTATCTACAGCTTAATTCTAAAACTATCTTTAGGCTCCTATAATACCGTGTTATGCCAATTTTTGTTTTACAAAATAAAGGATTAGTGCAAAGGGGAAAAGGGGCTATATTTCAGATATTTACAATGCTGCACTATTTTTATTTTGAGTCTAAGAGATATGTGTTTATTACAAGATCTAAATTCAGCCAAAGCCCGCCTCGGTACTTCTCTCTTTTCTAGTAAAAGCGTAATTTCAGTGGCATTCGCATAAAATGAACTTCGGACCTTTATTATAAATCCGAATCTCCGTAATTTTGTTATTAATGAAGGATTTCTTTTAACAGTTAATAAAATTAATAGCTACTAGCTACTGAGTATATGGACTTTTCTTCAAAATATGTGGGAAAACCAAATCTCCATGGAATCCCATGGTGAATTACGATCAGTTTACGAAAAGAGACGTTCACAAGTTGCACCCATCCTTGAAAAAGACTTTAAATATATAAAAAGCCAAAATAATGAAGAAATTTTAAATGAGCGTGAATAACAGTGGTCCAGTATTTACCTTCCTTTCATTCTCCATACTATTACATTTTGTTGCATTTAAATTATTCATCTTTTAATTTGTTTTACTACTTCGATTAATTTGAGGTACATTACTTTAAACGCAATTAATTAATTAATTAAGCATAAATTTAATTAATTTGTTAATATCTTAATTTATCTCTTTGTATTTAATTTTAATTACTCATTGTTTTTTGTTTTAATTATTACTTTAGAGATTCGTTACTTGCGGGTGTACAAGAACATAAGTTTTTGTGAGAAAATTTTAATATTATGGAAGGGTTTAAGATGTTATATATTAAAGAAAGACACTGAGAGATAGATTTAATTAAAAAACACTGGGTTATAAATGGGTTCGACAAATTAATTTGATTTGTAATAACTTAATGTGTTATACATATTTAATTAGCCAGCTTGCACTTAAAAAGCAGAAATAGAAAAATAAAACTTTCAGTTTTTTCCTGGGCCTTATTAACTACTAAAATAAACCACAATAATATATTGTTCAGCCATATTCTTTTATTAACCATATTCTTTTATGGTATTTAATTCTAGAATCCAAACATGTATTCATTATGAGGATTTGAAATTTTCAAAGATTATTATACAAACTCTTCACCTTTTTTTAAAAAGCGAAAGATAGGGAAAAATAAGTTAGAAGACTTTCTAGAAGTTTTTCGTTTTTCTAAATTTTTGCAGGCTTAGATGTCTGTCAGTATAACCAAAACTTTGTCATTCATTTTTAAACTATTGTGTGATAAGATATAGAGTTCAGATTTTGCATACATAATCATATGGATGATAACACTATGTGGTTTAGCGATGTTTTCAAAACTTTAATTTACGTTTTTTTAAATCTAAAACTATTTTCTCCCCCACATATCTTCGCTTAATGAACATGATTTACTAGCTCTATCCGATGGTATAAACAGTAAAATTGTAAATTTTACTGTTTATACCATCGGATAGAGCTAGTAAAATCATTTGAATGAAGTTCATATGTTCATATGAGAATTTTATTTAATTTTTGATTTTTTGGCAAAATCCCTATGTTTTTTTAGACACATTGACGTAGCAAAGTTTTTGGAAATAAAAGGGTGATTATTTATTGTTGAAAAATTATTTTTCATTTGGATAGTTTGGTTGATAAAACTAAAAAGATGAAAATTAAAAAAAAAATTAAAAAATAAAAGAAGCTTTTATTTAAAACTCATAAAATCATTTATGAAATAAAAGGACAAGAAACATAATTTACCATATAGTATAGTGGGAAGAGGAGATTAAGTAATTCGCTTTACAAATTTCATCTGAACTTTTATATCAAGAATAATAGAAGCATGGGCAACTAAATAATGAAATCGAATAATCAAATTGCACTGTCGAAAATATAAGCCATTATCTGTATAAATTTATCAAAGATGCCTCGCTTTTATTATTGGTGATAAACTTGTAGATGAATTTTGTGAAGCGAATTATTTAATCTCTTGTTCTCATTAAACCTTACGATAAATTATTTCTCTCCTTCAGTTCATTAAAGATTATATGAGTTTTAAATAAAATCTTATATTATAAAAACTTCTTTTCATTTCTCGATTATATCCCGCTGGTAAATTTAGTTGAAGCCATCGCGTTTTAAGCCATCTGTCGCTTTG